AAATCTTTGCTGTTATCTGAGTAATTATTTCTGATTTTATTTTTTCCAGATCCTCTTTTGTTGCCAGTTCAGAGAGTCCAGTTGGTTGAGTATCAGATTGTTCCATCTTGTTTCCCTTTGGGGTTGCTGTAGGTGATCTGGAAGTCTGTTTTTGAGGCTTGTTTATGTGTCTTCTTATTTCTCCAGTCAGGGAGTGTGCTTCTGATGCCCACGCGGCTCACCTTCTCTGCCCTAGGAGCATGGAATGGCAGCAGGGGAGCCTCCTCTGGGGTGCTGGGACTGGCTCACCTTCTCTGCCTTAGGAGGGTGGAATGGTGGCTGTGGAGCCTCCTCCTGGGCACTGGGACTAGCTCACCTTCTCTGCCCTAGGAGCATCTCCTTTAATCTTTTAAAAGTGCCCATGCCTCTGAATTCTGAGTTCTAATCTGTATCCTGCGTGCAATATTGATTCTCATGTTTATCAGTTTCTTCTTTAGGTTCTCAATGGTACTTATGCCCCAGGAAGCTTTGGAGCTACAGAATCATTCCCTCTGATACAGTAATGAATTTTTCCATTTTAAATGCAGCTCTTTGCTACAGAAGCCACATCCGATTGGTTGAATGCCAACAATGTTCCTGCCACCCCAGTGGCATGGCCATCTCAGGAGGGACAGAATCCCAGTCTCTCTTCCATCAGAAAGTAAGAACTCAACGGACTGTTTTCCGAGTTGGTCAATACATAGAGGATTAATTGTGTTGGCTAGCGTGATATGAATGTTTCACCTTCCTCAATTGCAAGTCCTTTAAAAGTTCTCTTAGCCAATCAGTTTAACAAATGTGGATGATAGTAAATTAAATTTGCTATTAAATTTGCCATTACTATAGAACACACACTACTGCTTGGGTATGTGTTGTTATGAAACATCTTTAAAATACTTCCTGACAAAAATGCTTTCCTTGACAGACACAATTAAAAGCATGAAGTATACATAAGGTAACACTTTATATTTCAGATCAGACTTATATAGATGAAATATATGTATGTATAAATAATGTAATATTGGTCATCTACAGTTCAGTGAGGTTGTGCATCAATGGATCAGTGAATCAGTCACTCTATTGAGAATTTGCTGCATGCAGGAAACTGTGTTGAGCACTATGATAATGTCATTCATTGGATTGCTTGAGTGGTCACTCCTTTATCAAGTTGTTTTATTATGCCTTAGGCCATATCATCATTAGATTTTGACATTATTTCAGCACATTGTGTGGACCTTCCAGATCAGTGGTCATCAACACTTACAAAACTAAGTGGCATGGGTACCTTGTAGATATTTCTGTCATTCCAAAATGTTCCAGCCTATCCAATAGCTATGTCATACCAAATTCTATGCAATAAACTGTGTGTTAAGGTTTTTGAGAAGTCAACGTGTATATCATTATCAGACTAATAAAAGAATGACATTCTGTACAGACCTTAGCAGACTTCCAAGGATGTTATAAGCCCCCTTGCTTTAGAGTGCTGTAAAACAATAAGCAGTACTACTTCAAGCTTTTGACATTTTGATGTCTCTTAGTATGTGTAGCAGCCCAGCACAGAATTTGAAGTGGTTTAATGGAAAGTCAGGTGACAGAGATTCTCATACATCTACTAAGATGTGATAGAAAAAAAGCAGTGAAGTAGATGTAATGTGGGGGTGGAATCAGGGTGAGGAGGAATCTTCAATGCAGGAGGGTTCACTTTGTGAAAAAACAAAAGAGCTATCAAATTACCAATTCTTAGAATGATCAGGTAGCATATTAAAGAAAAAACAGATTTTGTATCCCATTAGACATTAAGCAGCATTCTTTCAACAACACAATAAAAATTATAATCCCCACATGATAATACTTTGAACATCTACTTAGGAATAGAAGAGGGCAGATGACAGTCAAATCAGTATGGTATTGATTTAAATGGCTAACAGAATAATTTATGCTAGTTTTTTAAAAACTAAATATAAAATATACATCATCACCTCACTGGCAAGTATATATTTGTTTATATTTCCAGATTGATAAGAGATGGCAAAATTGACCTAGTGATTAATCTTCCCAACAACAACACTAAGTTTGTCCATGATAATTATGTGATTCGGAGGACAGCTGTTGACAGTGGAATTGCTCTCCTCACTAATTTTCAGGTATGTTCTTTCTCTTGTATTTAGGCTGCATGTGAGTTTCATTTCTAGCCCTCCCCTAAAAGTGCTAATCTCTCTTTTCCCTTACTTGTAAAAGTCAGAAGAGAGGGAAATTTGGGGGGGTGGGTTAACTTTTAATTTTTATGAGTATATGTTTGCAGTACATAATGATTACATTTACTGTGGGGAATTGGTACATGTACATAACAAATCTCAATTCTTTTAGAGGAGAATTTTTTGTATTGGGGATCAAACTCAGGACCTTGCACTTGCTAGGCAGGCAACAGCACCACTGAGCTAAATCCCCAACCCTAGAGGAGAATTTTTAATAGACTCATAGCAATAATGCTAACAGGGTAAGTCACAGCCTACATGGGACAGTTGGTGATCCAGCAATTGAGATAATCAAAAGCCATGTATATCCTTGGCACTCTCATTACCCATTCAATTATCTTTTGAATGAAAAGTGATCATGTGAAATGGAATAAAGATACAAACTTTCCCACTTCTGTTTCTAAATGAAAGACACCACATAAAAGCAACAGGTTAATAATTGAAAGTCCAGATGTAGTATAATTGCTTGTCCAATTCACAGAAAATGATTATATGAGTTATTTTCATTTTCATTTGTATACAACCCACCAAATTTAATATGGAAAGATTCACAGATTTGAGACTCATTTACTTTCCGTCCATTCTTTTTTTTTCCTAAGGTAGTGTTAATCCCTATGGGGGGAGAAATATGCTTATTTACAGTGAAGTTTGAGAAGAGGGTGAAAATCCCCATGAAATAAAAAAAATGTATGCCTTTCATCCCATTCCTCTTTGAAAATGGAGAGCAGATACTTATGACTTTTCACTCCTGATTCCTTCAACACTCACTTTCATCTCATGTGGGTTGCTAAGATTCTTAACATTTTCTTTGCAGGTGACCAAACTTTTTGCTGAGGCTATGCAGAAATCTCGCAACGTGGACTCCAAGAGTCTTTTCCACTATAGGCAATACAGTGCCAAAAAAGCAGCATAGAGAAGCAAACACCTCAGTTCCATTCTTAAATCACCTGAGCCACGTTTTATCTAAAGGAACTGATTCCTGACTTTGTTTCCCAGAGATGAATATAGACACAAAACTTTATTGCAGTTCACTCTATAGTACTTTATTTGTATCTTTCACAATTAAATTGTTGTCAGTCTATTTTGGAAAATCTTAGAGTCTTTCCTGAGTAGCATGTTCTTCAAGAGATTTTCACCCATTTATTAATGCCTTATATTCAGTGGTCTAGGCTTATCTATGGACTTACTCGGAGTTAACATTTTATGGTGCTGATTAATGATGATCGAGATAGAAATGCTGCTATTCTGTCTTTTGAACTCTCTGTGCTTTAAACATATTTTTGTCCTTGTTTTTAAATAGTATCTGTTAGGGCCAAGGATTTAGCTCAGTGGTTCCGCCGCCTGCCTCACAAGCGCAAGGACCTGAGTTCGATCCCCAGTACCAAAAAAAGAGAAGAATTGAATAGTATCTGCCACCTAGGACACATTAACAGGGCACAGCACTAAAAAATTTGGTAAAAATGAAATATACCTTTAATTTATGAACTTTTCCATTATGATGTTTGTATATTGCTTCCTTTTGATAATCATTCTTACCTATCTGGGAAAGATCATTTTTCCTTCCAAGATACTGAATTTGAAAAATATGACAGAGAGCTTTAGGTTATAGATTTTTTAAAAGGATGCTATCTTCCAGGTTTGTTTTTTTGGAGTACATTGACAGATGGTAGAAAACACTGATGAGGTTATATTCTTTTTTTTTTCTTTGACTCTTATCCTGGGCCAACTGAAATCTTTAGATTTGTGTCATTCACTTTCTATGCTAATTTTGCAATAACTTAGACATGCTAGTAATTCCCTACAGATGACAGATTTTGTTGATCTACTGAGTCCAACAGTGCACTGTGAATTCCATACATGTTAAATATCATTCCTTCTGTGTTTTCAGAAAAGTTCTTTTAGGGCAGCCTGTGTTGCTTTTAAATGTTTTATGTTATTACAAGTGCTTTAATTGTGAACTTTTTAATAAAATAATATTAAGAGATAATTCAGTTGTAGTCCTGAATTTATGTATTTACTTAATACTAGTATACAGTTCAGTTCTATGACAAAAGAGGGTCTGAAGCCAGGATCACACTGCTTGTATCTGTCTATCTATCCTCTCTCTCTCTCCCTCTTCTCTCATCTATCTGTTCATCCATCCACCTACCTATCTACTTCTCTATTTGTGGCACTGGGGTTTGAACCCATAACCTTCACACAGCTATATCGCCAACTCCTTTTTATATTTTTATTTTGATAAATTGCACAGGATGGACTTAAACCTGTTATTCTCCTGCCTCAACTTCCTAGAGTACTGACATTATAGGTTGTGCCACCATTATTTTCTCCATATAAAATCATGTAGGATATTATAAAATTAATGTTGAAAATTGTAAAGCTTTAGCTACTGCATTTGTTTCTAATTCCTCTCTTGCTCATGGGTTTCAGTATAAAGTTTATAATATGGTTATGTGGTTGTATCCTACCTTTGATCTGGATCATTTCCATTATGTTATGACTACATAGTGACTATATATATATATATATATATATATATATGCATATATATATATATATGCTTTAGATAAAATGTCTTATATAACACAAAGAATAGTAACTGAACCCAATTAGAAGCTGGCCTGTATTATTTGATAGAGAGAGAGCCAGTAGCCAAAGTGATGCCATATCCTGGATTTAATCCCCCAAATATGGCTTTGGTGAAGGTCCTACAACAATGATGCCATGATAGCTTTTATTCCTTTTCTCTCATCCCAGAATGTGTTGATTACCATTTTATATTGCTCTATCTAAAAGTGTTTCAAATTAATTTTTTCTTTCTCTACTATCGGTTGCCAGTGTATATGAAACATTCACTACTGCTTCCTTGTTATGTGACTACTGTAATTGATGATAATTCATTCATTTGGCTGAAAATATTTAATAAAAATTCAGGTGATGTTTTGTCTAGTATGTTCATGATTGCTTTTATGCCTGTTATTTTACTATGTTTCTGTTAATATTCTAATTCTCACCAGTATCAGCATCACCATTACCACCACTATCAAAATAACCAGCTTTATGGTGTGTCTCCTGTTTCTCAGATGGTTCCAAGTACTTTAAATGATTTAACTCACTTAGTCCTCAAAATGCTCCCCTGAGCAATGCTATCTATATTATAAACAAGGAAATTTAGCCATCAGAAGCTAAGTAACATGGTCAAGATCACACAAAATACAATCTCATTATTTTGAAAATTTTATTCTGATACAATGACCATATAGCAATCATTTCTCATGGTAGAGAAGATGCTTGATTTGTCTCTAGAGATCAGAGGAAGATATTTTGAGTAGATGACTTCATACATTTTCTGAAGCAATGTCATATAGTTTCCAGACAACAGGGGAAGCCTTTCATTTAAGGAGCCTATGAGTAATTTGGTATGACTAGGGTATGAGGTATTTGTCAAGAAAAGGGCTAGAGACACAAGTTGAGGCATGGAATTTTTAATAAGATAGGTGTCTTAAATATTTGTATTTGGAAATATTTTTGGACTTAGTGCATTTTACTTATTGGTAATATTTTATTTCATTTGTTTTATGCCATCTATCAATTTATCTAATTGTCTTTATTTTAATAAGGGTCTTATTATTATAACAAAATGGCAAAGGTGTGTTAATTTTATAAAGAAAAGAGGTTTATTTAACTCATAGTTCTGGAAGTTCAAATTCATAGTGTTGGAATCAGCTTGGTTCTGGTAGAGACCTACTACTATCAAGGTAGAAAGATGTGAGGGAAAGATCACATCACTAAACAGAGAGACAGAGAAAGACCCAGATTCAGGGTCAGGCTTTTATAAAATCCCATTTTTAAGAATTAGCCAGAGTCTCATTAGAAAAATCTTCCCAAAGGTTCACTCTCAGTAAACAAAGTACCACTCACAACTCCTGCCCTTTAAAAATCCACACCATTTCTCACATCACTACCTTAGGTACCAAATCGCCAACATTTGAACATTTTAGTGGAACACAGCTAAACCATGTCCATACCATAGCACTATCTCTCATGAATTCACATATCTGTCTATCATCTATAACCATGTATGCATGTGTGAAAACACACAGAGAAGATAAAGATACCCTTTGACCACAAGTGAATAGGTGGTTTGTGGCTGATTTAGAAATGTAACTCATGGTTTGAAATAACTACTACAAATTTGCACAATACTTAATTTTTGTATTGTAGCAATTTAGTAGAGGTTCCCAATTTTATATTGATTTGAATATGTTATTTGTAAGACACAGTAAAATTATAATGATAATAATTAATCAGACAACATTGTTTCTGAATAAATTTTATCTTGTGTTGGTGAAACAATCTTCAGAAAGCAAGAGCAGATTCACTCTGTCCTTGGTGCTGAAAATGAAAATACATTGATTTTTAAATTTTTGTTCCCTTTCTGTTTTTAGATGTTCCAAACTTTAAAAAGATTGTAATACAAATAAATAATCATCCAAAACCTTTGGTTGGAGGAGGGAAATTCAAGAAAATAAAAACATGTTTGCATTCAGATTTGCCAAGACTTTGCTCTTTTGGAATGCATTTGTTCTTTCACATAAACAGGTTAACACATTTTTAAATGTCTATATTTTTTATACATCACAAGGGCAGATAACATAGCTACTATGCCTGCAGAGCTGAGTAGTAAATCTATGTAGCTTTTTCCACACAAAGAATTTAATAGCATCTAAGAAGGATGGCTTCTATAGGTTGAGGTGAAAAGCTCATCCAGCTCATGGAATGAAGAAGAGAAAGAACAATCCATTTATAAATTTAGGATTTTACAGCTTTGGAAAGGTAAGTAAAGTATTTTAAATGTACTTCTGTCAAACTTTCCTCTTAAGCAGCATTCCTATTGAAAACTTTTAAAAACAGCTACAACATTCATTAATCTCAACAGCTGCAGGTACTTGAACCTCAGTTTCTACAGTGTCCACAGCCTCTTGAACAATAGAAGTGGAAATTATCAGAGAAACAAACCATGTCTGAATGCAGTTAAGTGCTCTGTAATTACACACCAGCATTACCATTTGGCTGCTGGTGCAGCCCCCTGTGGGCACAGGTGCCATAAATGCTCACACACACCTAATCAAACCCACAAAGGCCTTTCATTATATGTCATTCGAGATACCCTTAGCTTGAAAAAAACTAGCTCAACTGTATTTCTCTCCCTTTTTTCTCTTACCATTTCTTTTTCTTTGTTCTTATATCTAAAAACTCATTTTTCCTAATGACTGTTATGGTTCAATTATATGAGAAGCTGTTGCAACTGGTGAGCAAGAAGGTAATGTGGCAGGAGGAAGAATGTCTCTGCTTCCTCAAGTGGCTCCGTGAGCTTTGTGAAAAATTGGTAATCATTGTCTCTCCTTCTTCTCTTGGGCGTAATGTCGGGTGCAAGAGCTCCAGGAAGAGAATTTAAGTACCAACAGCTGTTGAGATCAATGCAGCAATAGAAAAAAAATCTCAGCACGTCAGAATTAGTACCATTTATGCATGCTTTTTTGTTACTTAAAGATCATTTTGAGTCTTGATGACTTTTGTTTTGTAAAAGACTTGCATCCAGAAAGAAAATTATTAATTTCTTACCAAAAAAAAAATATACAGGCTTTTTCAGGGCAGTAAATGTCCATTTTTTGGAACTACCAGCCTAGTAAATTATTTCTTTACGTATCCCTTAGGAGAAACATACAAATCACAGGGAGAAATTTTGTTTATCAAAGGGTGTAACACTAGCCATCTCAATAAAAGTTTAAGATGTTTGTGTCTTCTAAAGACTATTTTCCACACAAAGCTTAATGCTGTCACTATAATGAAAATATGCAAAAAGGGGAGAGAAACCAAGTTTAAAATGTCTTATTTACAGAGAGAAATAACTTGAAAATTTTATTTTGTTAATAAAGGTTATGTTCTAATATATAGTGCCCAGATGACTGTTTTCCTTTCTGAAACTTAAGAGGGTTCTGTGATCTCTTTAGTGGTCTTTTTTAAGGTAAAAATGCCTTGAAGGTTGAAGTATGGCAGGGATTTTAGACCTATGTATGCAGAGAAATACCCTGCTAAGTGTTTTCCTAACTCTTAACAAATTTTCTTGCAAAATACTGCAAATGAAATTTATATGGAATAATTTAATTGTATGGTTATATTTACTTAAATTCTCTATTGAAGATAATTTGCATATGGATCATTTTAATTTGTTAATCATTTCTTTTCAATGTATCACTTTTATTAGTGTATATTTGAGATACATGATCAATACATTCTTCATGGTAGTTGTTAGGTATACACGTCACAATGAGTCTTACTTACTTCCCCTTCCTCTCCCCACCATCCTGTCTTAGCCAGTTCCCTGATCCCCTTCCCAACTCTGCAAAGTCAATCGCCCTGTTTCCAAGCATCCATCTTGTATTCTACTTTTTAAATTAATTATACTTTTGTTTTCTCATATAAGCAAACCATGTGATATTATTCATTTTGTGATTGATTTATTTCACATAGCAATATGGTCTCAAAAATCAATCCATTTTCCTGATAAATGATTCAAATTTCTTTTCTTTTTTTTTTTTTTTTGCTTAAATTCTTTTATTGGTACATTTTAGGTGTACAATACATTTACATTTATCATTGGGTACTTGTACCTGTACATGATGTATCTTGGTTCTTATTTTTTCCCCATTCCCTGTGCTCCTTTCCCTATTTACAAAGACTTTGTTTCCATTTTTTCCCTTTCTCACAATTTTTGCTTTCCCTTCTTTACTTTCCCCTACCCCTCCAACTTCCCCTACCCTTTTGGACCTTTTCTTCCTATTTCAAATGATCAATTATTCATTTTAATCATTTTAATCCTTATTCACACTTTCAATTTCTCATACTAGAAAATTTATTTTCTTTATGGCTGAAATGTATGTATTTCTTTATATCTGAAATATATATATTCTTTATGGCTGAAATATATATATGTATATATATACATATACATATATATATGTATACACACATATATACATATATATACATTCCTCTGTTGATGGGCTCATAAGCTACTTCCAGGATTTAGCTATTGTGAGTTGGGCTGCTATAAACACAAGTATGCGAAGTATCACTGTAATATGATGCCATTAAATCTTTGAGGAAGATACCCAGAAAAGGCATACCTGGATCAAAGTGTTTTCTATTTTTAGTTTTCTGAGAAATCTCCATACTAGTAGTTGTATTAATTTACATTTCACACACAATGTAGGAGGGTTCTTTCCCCCTCTCCCCAATTTTGTCAGCATTTTTTTGAGTTCTTGATGTTAGTCATTCTTTCTGGAGTAAGATGGAACCTCAGTGTTTGGTACTGGGGATCGAACTCAGGACCTTGCACTTGTGAGGCAGGCAGCAGCACCAAGGAACCTCAGTGTTTGATTTGCATTTCTCTAAGGACCAACTATGCCAAACATTTTTTTCATGTACTTATTAGCTATGTGTATTTCTTCTTCTGAGAAGTGCTTATTCATTTTAATTGTCCACTTTTGTTTGAGTCTTTCATTTTGAAGGGTGCAATTTTTTATTTTTTATATATTCTAGATATTAGTTTTGTCTGAGGTGTAGCTGGAATTTTTTTCCCCATTCTGTAAATTTTCTCTTCATTCTGTTATTTGTTTCTTTCGCTGCAATAAAAGCTTTTTAATTTGATAAATCCCATTCATTAATTCTTGGTGTTGTGTACTGTAATTGGGGTTCTGTTCAGAAAGTCATTTCCTATTCCTATGTCTTCAAATTTTACTTAATTTCTTCTACTAGATTTAGTATTTCTGTTTTTATATCTAGGAATTTGATCTTCTGATTTGATTTTGGTACAGGGTGAGAGATATGGGTCTAGATTAAATTTTATGCAAGTGGATTTCAATTTTCCTGCTAGTATTTTTAAAAGA